GGTAGTTGATTGAGAATAGGAATCCTCAAGAGTTGAGAAAATTCCTCCAAAGTAGGAACAAGTTGGTAGTCAGGGAATGTAAAGCAATGATGTAAAGGGTCAAAGAACTGGAAGAGAACTTTTAGCATATCCTCCTTAGTGTTGGTGTTGACTAAGTTGAGAAGACGACCATGCCTCTCGGTGAATGAAGAGTTCTCAGGAATCCTTGAAGCTAGCTCCTTGAGTTGAGGAGGAATTCTTACAAGGTTGATTTGGACAATTTTCCTGCAAAGTGAATCCATTACCTACAAAACAGGAACAAAGATGAAGATCCAAAATCCTTGAAATGGTTAGTGGATGCATATGATGCTTCATGATGTCCATGATGTTATGCACAAGTATATATGTACAAACAAATCACACAAGTTCCTAGTTTAGGCTTGCATGAGGTTTCATAGGTTAGTACCCTCTTGAAGTTTAGTTGGCTCAACCTGTCCTAGAAATAGTAACCGGGTTCTAAGGAGCTCAATATCACCGAATTGTTTCCTGTGTTCATTGTTTCAGTTTAGCCACTTTACTAGCGACCGAAATATTCCAAGAAAACAACCCTCAATGAGTGTAGTATCGAGTATCTACCAACTTCCGACTGCACCAAATCAAGTCATCTCACTATATCCTAAAAGGCCAAGTTGGTCAAGTAAAGGTTCTAAAAGTCCATTAATGCTTTATGACATCACTCAGCGGCCCCGTATTCTCTTTGATTGACTCAAAGGCTACCGGTACCCACAAATATGTCGCACTAACATAGCTATTGCTTAGACCATGTCGGTATACCCCATATAGTTTCCACAATGTATTGCTATTTGCCTATGAATGTTTCCCAAATCCGGGAAGAGGATTCAAACCCAAACAATAGAACCAAAGTGTAAAGCATACAAGTCAAGAAAGATAAGCATGTAAAGGTGATCTAAAAACCCTAAGGTAACCCCACTTTTATATTGTCCCCAGCAGAGTCGCCAGTTCTGTGATGCGGTGGGAGAACTGACTTGAGGTTTTGCGTTTGTGTTCACAAATGTTTCGGTTTAGCAAGAGTCGCCACCGACTTTTATTTTATCCAAAAGGAAAGGTAAAAAAGCACAGGAAAGACCTTTGAGATGTTTTTTGGGTTCGGGGGGTAGATTATGAAAAGGGAAGGTGCTAGCACCCTTTTCATCCATGGTTTTCCATGGGCTCTTAGTTACTTGTTTTAGATCACTTGCTTTGCTTTTCCAATTGTTTGAAATGGTGCTTTGTGTGGTTTTGAAAGTATTTTGAAAAGAGGCCATTGTTTAGGCAATCTTTGTAATGATTCTCGTTCGTAAGAATATATACAAAGATGTTTGTCTTTTGAAAAATGTTTCAATGTTTGAAAGTTGTTTGAAAATGTTTTGAAATTGTGTATGTGTTTTTGAAAATAGCAAGGATGGTTTGCAAATTGATCAAGTAACTAGAAGCATCTACCTACTCAAAAGTCTTTCCTACACATTTTTATTCCTTTGACATTGTTGTCTTACCATTGCATTTGGTAGACAACCTTATCTTTGGATGTTAAACGGGACGGGCGTGGGTCATCGTATGACCATGATAGCAATGGTGCCAAGTATCTTAGCAACTTTTAGGGACTAAGATCCTTTGTTTTTAGGCAACATTTTTGATAGCGTCATCGAGGGACTATGATCTTTTTGTTTTGATTGATTTTGCCAAGATACCTAGCATGCATACCATGGCCATTTTAAGGAAACAAAGTGGATGAAACCCTAGGGGTGCTTGTGTGCAATGTGTTGTCATTTTTCATGCATCTTTGTCTTGTATTAAGTCATGCTATTTGTTTTGATTTTTGGTCTTTGCATACAAAACCCTAGTTTACTATCATGGTATATGAAAGCAATAAAATGCGTAAAGTAAATCTAGACTATTACAACAATATTATAGAGAGGGGGTACAAGTTTTGAATAGGGGGAGGTTGCTCAAAATAAAACCCTAAAACTATTACAACCAAATTGAATTTATTGTACAAATAAATAAATAAGCAAATATTTAAATATGCAATTAAATGTAAATATGCAAGGAATGTTTTTTGTATTTATTTTATGTATGAGAAAATAAATTTATTTATATCCTAAAAATAAGAAAATAAAATGATTATTTTTTGAAAGGGGTGGAAACCCTAATTTTTGTTTAATAGAAAATATATGCTATATTATTTATTTATTTATTTATATACAAGAAAAAAGTAATAATAATATATACAAAATATTAAAAAATTGAAATATGTATGAAAATATTATTTTAAGTGTATAAATAATAAAAATAAAAATATATAATATTTTTATATTATTTACAAGTTTTATTTAAGAAAATAAAATATATTATTATTAATAAACTATTTTTATGCCAAAAAATAATAAAAATAATAAAATAAAAATGAAAAAATTTAAGAAAATATTTTTATGATTTTATAATGTTCAGAAAAAATAATAAAAGCAAAAATATAAAAGAAATGAAAAAAATATGCAAAATAAAGAAAATGGGCCAAGGGGGTGCAGAAAGTAAACAGGGGGTGTGAATAGAACCAAGCCCAAGGCGCCAGGCCCATACAAACTTCATCCCTGACCTCGAGACACCACGTGCACGCTTCTGTTATGCAAATCCTATTCTCTCTATTGCTTGCATGAAATCAAAAACTCACAACATGAAACTTATAGCATTTTTAATCACGAATCCAACCATATCCATTTTGTGACCTAACTCTCAAAGGACAAAGAGAATTTTAATGGCCCTAAATTTTGACCTAGTTTTTTCAGCAACTTCAACAATCAAATACTCCTAGCTCAGTTAATATAAATGGAAGCTATGCATATGTACAACTCAAGCACGTTAAAGACTACATTTTTGCTTCACAAACCTAAGCTTAAGGATGCCTAAATAAGGAGTTATAAACTTGACAAATACCTTGTTCAGTTGAGTTTGGATATGGCAATGTAGCAACTTTGAGTGAGGCCTGAAGTTCTTGTGGGCTTTCTTGAAGTTCCCTCAACCTTTCCCAATGCTCACCTTTCCTTGTAGATGCCTGAATCTTCCTATAGAAGTCAACCTGCAAACTCAGAAAATGGAAATGGTGAAGCTCGAAACAGGGGTTATAGTTGCTTGACAAAGGTATGGATAACTTAGATGTGATGTATGGAATGTGTTTGAAGCCTTGAAACAAAAACGCACGAGCAAAATATGTTTTGGCTAGTGATTTGCAGAGGTTGCCCTGTTTTAGGCAGAAGTGGTGTTTTTTGTGTTTGAGGTAGTTTTGGAGGTTGGCAATTTGTGTATTCTGCTTGTTACAATGTTCCAAGGTTGTTTGAAATGATACAAAGTGTTGGTTTTATCAGATGGACAAGTTGTGTGGACTTTTGCAAGTTTGCTTGCTTTTGAAGAAAAGGTGAGATTACAATGCCCAAAGCCTGTACAGACATGTTCCTTAGCTGCACATAGTTGGTGAACTTTGCCTGATATTAGTGGACTTTGTTTGCAGCAAGAGATTAGGTCCATGGCTCAAGATAAACAAGATTGCAAAAAGCATGCTTTATCAAAGTAACATTGTAACCTTTATGCCATTTTTGGAATAATTCTTTGTGTAAAGCTTCAAAGATCAAAATAAGACCTTTATCCATTGTGTTTGCATTAAATTAATGAGTGTAGAATTTATTATAAACTGTAGAACCAAGTACAAGCATGCTTAGGACATATTTGCAACTTGAACCATTGTGAAAAATGCCTTGTACAAAAGTGATAAATGGCCATTTTCATTTCTTCGATTCTCCTTAACCATAAATGATCTCGGAGATTTCTTGGACATTTTGGAAAGCTTGTAACATGATATACAATCCATATTTGAAATGAATTTTGAGATTCCTCCCGGAACTAGGTGAAAAGTTGCCATGAAGTTAGGTCAAAAATCTGCCTAAACTAGGGCAAAATTTGACTAGGTTAAAAAGTTTATGGACCCTTATTCACAAAATCATAAATATAGATCCAAGCATATTTTGGGAAAACTTTGTGAATCAAAGTTGTATATTTTGTGTAGAACTACAACTTTCATGTTTGAAGTTTTGTTTGAATCCAATTGCATCATGGTGAAAAAGTTGGGAGAAGTTGGGAAAAAATAAGAAATTTTCATAACTTAGAAAAATTCTAAGTTATGAAATTTTTCAAACTTAAACCCTAATTTCCAAATTTAAGTTTATTGGTGAACAAGTTTCATGTTTTTACACATCTTGATGAAATATGACCCTTGGCACTTGATTTTGACCAAAAAGTCAAAGTTTTACTTTTCAGTGTACAGTTGATTTTTGATTAGTTGACTGGAAAACTCATATGTCAATCCAATGCATTTGAGATCTTTTGAACCTTGTGATTAGGTCAATATGGTTAAATTGACTCCTTGAAATCATGCTTGAACCCAATTTGCCATTGGCTAGGTAAAAAATCAGAAATTTCCTTTCTTCAGTCAAAACCCTAATTTTGACCATTTTTCCCTTTTGATGATCTGATCAAATTTCTTGAGGAGTTGTGGTCCAAAATTGATCAAATGGTTCATATGAGTCTATAATGTTAATGTGGATAAAAAATTATGAAGTTTGACTGTAAACTGGCCACAGTTGACTTTTTCCTCAATACAGCTGATTTTTAGGTCAACTTTCCAATTGACTGGGCAAAAATTAGATTCAAGGCTTGAAACTTGGTATGAGAAATATTAGAAGTACAAGATGGTTTATGAAAGTCACATGAGGCATTTGAAATCCAAAAATCCCTGTGCACACTCAAACCCTAATTTCAGATCATCAGTGCAAGGAGATGTCTTGAGCTGAGCAAACCCTAATCTGGTCATGAGTCTAAGAAGTCTTATGAGGAGAATCTTGATAAAATGAGAGGAAAATTTTTGGGGTACAACAATGTGGAGAAACCAACCACGTCTATGGTTTGGTATACTATCATAAGTAAGAAGAATGTGGAGAGTGTTCAAGATACTGTGAGAACAAGGTCACTTGAAGATGGAACACATAACAATGAAGAAGGAAATGGAGGGAAGAAGCCAAACACTCCTACTGAAAACTGGACAATGACATGATCAATTAGATGTGACAAAGGAAATAATCATGTGATCTTTACACCAAAGAATACTATGTTGTTTCAAAACATTTTCACTCCCCTTATGATTGGTGAATGTCCAATAGGGGAAAATTAAGTTGTTTTATGATTGTCATGTGTAATGTTAGGGGTTTAAATAAAGAATAAAAGCATAGAGAGATTAACTCCTATCTATGTAAGTTTAATGTACCTGTTATTGCTTTGTTAGAAACTAGAGTTAAGAAGGCTAATTCTGATAGAATAAGAAAGAAGACGATGAATAATTGGAATTATTTGGATAACTATAATCATCATGATAATGTAAGGATATGGCTGATGTGGAAGCATAATAAAGTGGAAGTCAGGGGGCTTCACAATGTCGAGTAATACATTCATGCTGAGGTTTATGGTCTGGATAAAATAGTTCAATACACTGTTACCATAATATATACTTTCAACCAAATTGAAAAAAGAAAATTTCTTTGCAAAGAAATTGAAAATTTGGGTACAAACATGAAGACTCCTTGAATTTCCATAGGAGACTACAATAATGTCTTGAGTAGACAGGATAAGGTTGGTGGATATAATGTCAATGAAGCTGAAAATAGAGATCTTGCAGAGATGAAGAAAAATACTAGTTTGTATGAAGCTAGCATGAAAGGTTGTCACTTTACTTGGTTTAATAAACACACAACTTGTGTGATTTACTCTAGAATAGATAGAATGAGTACAAATGTGGAATGGTTTTAAAATTATCAAGATGCTATTGTTGAATTTCTAGCCCATAACATATTTGATCATGCCCCTTTGAGAGTTGGGAGGAACAATAATAAGAATAAGAAAATATTTCCTTTTAATTTCCTGAATTGCATAACACATTAATCTTCATACATGGATATTATCTCTTGTAGCTGACATCATAATGTGTATGGTAGTGCTATATATAGATTGTTGTTCAAGCTGAAAAGACTGCAACCTATATTAAAGCCATTTAACAACAAATTTACTGATATACAAGTGTAGATTTAGTAGGCTAAGAAAAAGCTTGTTCAAGTTCAGGAGCATTTGCAGCAAAACCTATTTGATACTCAGGCCATAGAACAGGTGAAGACCTACACTGATTAGGGGATATACCTGAACCAGAAGGAGGAATCTATTCTGATGCAGAAGTCAAAAGTGGATTTGCTCAAGTTGGGACATAACATCAACTCTTACTTCCATGCTTATGTGAAAGATAAACACAAGGGTTAAATAAGTTTTTGGTCCCTCTAAATATCTCAATTTTTTGTTTTTAGTCCCTCTAAAATTTTCCTTCAAAGAATGGTCCTCCTAAAAAATTAAATTTTAACTTTTGGTCCCTCTTGCAATTTAGCGACGATTTTTACAACTTCGCGAAAGTTTTAGCGACGATTTTTATTTAGCGACAGAATTAGAGACCATTTTAGCTACAATTTTTTCAGGAGAGACCAAAAGTTAAACTTTAATTTTTTAGGAAGACCATTGTTTGAAGGAAAATTTTAGAGGGACTAAAAACAAAATTTAAGATATTTAGAGGGACCGAAAACTTATTTAACCCTAAAAACAAATAAAAAGTGTTGTACACTTTGATATCAATGGGCAGGGAGTTACGATTCTACAATGAATCCATTGATAAGGAGATTTTAGATTTTTACAGATATCTGGTTGGAAGTAATGCTACAGAGTTAGAGGGAATTGATATACCTGATGTGAGAAAAGGAGATAACCTATCTAAAGACCAGGCTCTGTAGCTGATTAGACCTATTGAGGAGAAACAAATTAGGATGATTTAGCTAACATGGGGAATACTAAAGCTCCCGAAATTGATGGCTTTAACACATACTTCTTTAACATTACTTGTTAAATAGGGAAGAAGGATGTTACCGAAGCAATACTATAATTTTTCTCCACATGCAACTTGTATAAAGCTGTCAACTTCTCCCTTGACACTTTGATTCCCAAGTATCTAGAAGTTACCACTATCAAGGATATGAGGCCTATCTCATGTTGCAACACCATATACAAGATAATATCCAAAATACTCACTACAATACTAAGTAAAGTGATAAATTTTATAATTAATGATAACCAATCTGCTTTTGTTCTAGGGAGATCGATTCATGACAATATTATGATAACTCAAGATTTGGTGAGAGGGTATCTTAAGGAGAATATTTAACCTAGATGCATGGTATAAATGGACATACAAAAGTTATATTACACTGTGGAATGGCCATCTCCAAATTAGATCTTGGTTGAAATGGGATTTCCTTAAAGGTTCATCTATTGGATTTTGGCATGTGTAACTATTGTTTTTTACGTGTTTGCTATTAATCGAGAGACCACAAGACTTCTTAAAGAAAAAAGAGGATTGAGGCAAGGAGATACCATATCTCTCCTCTTGTTTGTAATTATAATGGAGTATTTGCATAGGTTCTTGCAAGGGCTTAATAGCAGTCCTAACTTTAACTTCCACCCTAAGTGTGAGAAGCTGAAGATTATAAATGTTGGTTTATAGATGATATCCTTTTATTTGTGAGAGGTGACTTGGACTCAATCAAGCTGATCATGAATAAGGTGAGAGAATTCTCTGCTGCAACTGGGCTTAACATTTGGATTCCTAAAAGAAAAACTTATCTTGGAGGGGTGGATGAGGAAACTCAAAGATTGATTCAGTAAGAAACTGGTGTTGAGATATGTATGATGCCTATTAAATATTTGGGTGTGCCTTTGGATAGTAGAAAATAATCTATTTCTCATTACCAACCATTGATAGAGAAAAATCTGCTTAGAATCAACCACTAAAGCACAAGACTTTATCTTATGCAGGGAGATACCAATTGTTGAAGAGTGTCATATTTTCTATTGCTAACTATTTGATGCAAATTTTTCCTTTTCCCAAGAAAGTGATTGCACACATTGAAGGATTATTTAGGAACTTTTTATGGACTGGTAAGTGTTAGTACAATGTTTTGTGGATTGGCATAATTTTTTCTAAAACATGGTTTGCCATAACAGGATTGTTGTTATGTGTTTTTTAGCTAAATGTCGAAGACAATGTCATGACATCTTGGTCTAATGCAGGTGGTACTACAGTTTGGTTTATTCTTGACCAATCATTAATTGATTATGTGAGATTTAAGTTTTTTATATCTCACTAATTTATCGCTTGTCAAGAATTTATATCTGGAACAAATAATATCTCCAGCTGTGCACAAGTTGATATAATTGGTTGATTGAGGCTAATTAGGAAACCTTATGTTTTGTTCCAAGAATCATGGATATTTTCCTGCACTGACTCGTGCAACTCTCAGCATGGACAACAAGAAATATTTGGGCGAAGATTCAAGGGCCAAGGATTGCTAAAGAGTATTTAAAGAAACTACCTAGACCCAAGAGCTTAAAAAATTCAAAAAATAAGGGGAAGCTTGTTTTCTCACTCTTGGGTTGGAGGGTTCTTCAAGGTAGTTTTTGTTTTTAATCTACGTCCTCATGTATCTCTGGTACATTGGAGTTGACTGATTGTGCTTGACTATTTGTCAAGTTATTGTTCTCCTTGAAGCTGTGAAGCAAGAGTTAAGTAATATTCTTGGAGGAAGCCTCTAAGAAACTTCCAATACTTGATTTGGAAGTGTGATATTCCTATTTTTATCTTCAGGTTGTTGTGACTGTAACTTGATTTGAGACAGCTGTTGCGATTGGGATAGGTCTTTTATCACTATGGTGATTGGAAGTGGGATGTCAATTTCTCATATTTAGGGAGGACCTAGGTAGAAGTTGCACTGAGTAGGTATTAGGCGTGAAGTTGTAAACTTGAGAATAGTTTAACTTCAAGATAATACTACTAATAGTGGATTTCTTTCATGGCTTGGTAGCCCCCAAAGTTGTTGAGTTAGCACTGAACTAGGTTAACATATCATTGTGTTCTTTAGTTTTCTGCAACTTATATTTCTGCACTGTTATTATTGTTATTATTCTGTCAGCAAATGTTATAACATCTATCGTGATATTTCTTGTACGTTGACACAGGAGTCTTAACATATTTGGTGTGTGTGCCAGGATTTCAATTAGTATCAGAGCATGTACCCTATTCTAGTTACTGGGTGAGATTTAGGGATATATTTTCTGGCACTATGGATTACGAAGGAGAACCTTGGAATAAACCACCTATGTTAAAGGATAGAGATTATGCTTTTTGGAAAGATAGGATGACAATGTTTTTAAAAGCCATGAACATGAAATCTTGGAAGGTTATGATGAAAGGATGGAGTCATCCTGTAGTGGAAAAAAAAGATGGGATTAAGTCCTTAAAGCCAAAGGAGGATTGGTCAAAAAAGAAAAATGAGTTAGTGAAGCTATCGGCAGAAAACACAGAGCCGCCACCGAACTTTATTTATTCTGAAGGAAGGGGAAATATCAATAAAACCACAAGGGAATGGATAAGATGGTCTTGCAACCAAGAGAAAGGGTAAGGGAGTCGGTTATGCGAGGGGAAGGTATTAGCACCCCTCACATCCGTTGTACTCAACGGGATCCATTTTGTTTGTTTGTCTTAAAGGGTGTGTTTATCTACAACTAGGCTTGCTAAAGGGGAAAAGAAAGGTTTTTTTTATTATTGTGTTCGTGAGGGTTTCGCGACCCTTTGCCTACGTATCCAATGAAGGAATCAGAACATCGTAGTTCCTCTAGAAAATGATTGGTTTGTTTGTGTTTTTTAGTGGGCGACATTAACGCACACATTCCAGCAACAGGCACAACCGATATCGCGGTAGAACGAAGATAACATACCCCTGGGGGGAGTTTTGCTTGGTTGAGTGTTTTTGCGAGTTTTAAAATAAATTCAAGTAATGATTAAAGAGGTGTTTTTGGATTTTGGTTTGTTTGGTCAAAATGAGTGTGAATGAGATTTCAAAGATACAACCACCTAGTGTCGAAGTTTTGACTTAAAAAGTGTGAGTTTGAAAATTGAATCTTTGGGAAAATTATCTTAAGTTTTAACAAAAATAATAAGCAAACGAAAAATGAATGAGGGTATTCGCACAATTAGATGAGACGTGTTTGATGACATGAAGTCAACAAAGTTAAAACATTTCCCTTGGATTTGAGACGGACGAAAGATATAAAGATTTACGATCGATGACAAAATTAATTAAGATGACAATTGAACAACTAACTAATGAAAATTAAATTATACTAGCATGCATTTTGAACGATTAAGTAAATAAACAAAATTACATAAAGACTAAATTACAATATCATGGATTTTTTAATAATTAAACAAATAACAAGAATTAAATTATGAAACATTTATATTTTTTTGAATAATTAAATAATAAAAGATTAATAACAAATTAACAAAAATTAAATTATAAATGCATGTTTTTTATGTTTTCATAATAATTATAACAAGATAGGATAATGAAGGAGATAATGCTAACAAAATAACAAAAACGTCCCAGCCTGGACTTTAACCCGTGTCCTTCCTGGATTATTGTTAAATCCTTTCCAAATGAACTATGTTGTTTATTTGTTATATCCATGCTTCTATTAGTAAATAAAGGAATATTGGTAAAAAAGCTGGACCAACAGGCCCAATGGGCCGACCCGCTTTGAAAAGGACAAGAAAGAAAAAAGAAAACCCTAAGTGTATGTTGAAAGGCGCGGCGGCTAGTGCATTGGAAAAGAAGAAAAGATTAAATAAACATTATTATTGTTTTATCCAATAAATCTGATGGCCACGCTTTACTGTGAGAAGAAAAAAATAAAAATGTTAACATCTTCTCCAACCTATTCATAGATATCTATCTTCTTTCCTTCTCTTTCTCATTACCAGTCTCCCTAAGATAAATGGCTGATGAAGATAAATGGGTGATTTCGGTGATGTGAGGATGAAGCGGCGATAGAGGTAGAGATTTATGTGGTGGCCGAATGCGGAAATGCGACGGAAGGAGTAAGTGGGAGCAAAGACGAACAAAATCTGAGAACAGATCTATGAGCAACAAGGTGAATCGAACACGGCGGCCGTCCGAATCGCGACTGGATGGTGGAGGAGATCGTGCTTCCGCGAGGTAAGACGAGAGAGAGTGGCAGAAATGGATGGTGGTTGATGAATGTTGTCAAATTGGAAACAACATAAGCTAGGCAGAGATGGAGTGGATTAGAAAAGAAATGGAATTTTTTGGTTAGGTTTCAAGGATAATCTTTTGTGTCTATTGAACTGGGCGGATGTACTTTTGGTGTTTTGAATGGAAGCTTGTTGGTCAAAAATTTCAACAGATCCACAACTGGCTCATCAGCTAGAGTATTCTCTTGCTTGAATGTCAAGTTGGAAATCATCTTAACCCCAACCTCTCTGGTGAATGGCATATCAAAATCATGTAGAGGATTTATGTTTCCTTTTGTTCCGAAACTTACAACGGCCAAGTTCCCCATTTCGAGTTGAGAAACAGCGCGACATACTGTAACCAAAGCTTCAACTGCAACGTCACCACATCAGGTCTTTGACATGCTATGTGAATCATCAACAGTAATCACAACTTGGTAATCACAGTTGTTGGGTCTGGTCCGCCTAAGCCATATTTTATCCTTACGATAATAACTTGCTATGTATTGTATAACCTTTTCATATTTATCCTTTTGCCGATTTTAAGATTGTTAACAACTTCTATGGTTTTTTTTAACAAGTTCTATGTTTTGTACAGGTTAAGGTTTTGACAGGTTAAGGTGGTTTTAACAGCAGGTTCTAAGTTTTGTAACAGCAGGTTCTAAGATTTGACAGTTTCTATGTTTTAACCGGTTCTAAGTGTTTATAGGTTCTATTGTTATAGTTGTATGGGAAAGGCGTGGAAAATGCAAATTCCGCAATTCGGTTCTGTTTTTTTTTTATTCAGATTTCTATTCTTCTAATTTTAAGAACGCATTTACGTTTGGGAATCTCTTCTGTTGAGCAGAAATGGATGCAGGTTTTTGATTGGTGGTTGTTAGAGTAAGGGATAGAAATTGTTGTTACGCGACGGAAAGAGTAAGGTTCTTTCATTATACTCATTGTTATTACTGTTATTATGAATTCTACACATGCTTAAACACTAACAATCATGCAACAACTCTAAAAATACAGCAAGTCAAGTAATCATATGGCATGGAAGTGAGGCAAAGAAGACTAAAATATATGAAGGAGAAACATATGCAAATAAATAAAGAGGAAGAAGAAATACCTATCGGAGTCTCTCCGATGGAGCTTCAAAACCGTAAGTTTATCCTCTTTTCCTGTTTTTTCTTCTTGCTGAATTTTTAGAACAAAACTAATCTTTTTTCTGTTTTCACTCTCTTGTTGGATTGTTGGACAAAACTCTCTTTTCTGTTTTCACTCTTGCTAAATTTTTGTGGTTCTCCTCTTTTGCTGAATTTTTTTTTTAACTTCTCTTCTTTTCTTTTTGTGTTGATGAAAGCCTCTATTTATAATGAAATGTGTGGGGTTTTAGGGGGGAAAACAGTAGAAGTTTGAACTATTCTAGGCCCTGTTTTAATGTTTTATAGGATAGCTTTTTGAAGTATCCATTTTAGTGCAATATTTGGAGCTTTGCAAACTGTTTTTGTAACATCAAAATGTGCAGATTTTTGTCTTATGGGCTGCATTCTCAACTGTTTTGCAAGGCAGATTTGGACAGCAGCTTGGCATGGTCTTTGTTGAGACAAGGTTGGAGAAAATGGACAATACTACACTAAAAAATTGGACTGTTATGGATTAATATAGTGCTGGAAAAATGGGCAGCATTGTAGCAACATCTTGGACATAAGACAATAAAACAAAGACAATAGTAATAATAATGATAAAAGATAATTTGTTAGTAATACAAAAATAGAAGAATAATAATAATAAAAATAAGATGCAAACAAAATTAATTTTACTTTAATTTTAATATTAATTTAACTTTAAAAATTGAATTAAAATTAGAATAAAATCAAAATTAATATTGGATTAAAAGAAGCTAAAACTATAATGACTAAAAAGTAAAATAAAGGAAAAAGTTATTAACTATATTTTTTTGAGATATTTTCTGGATTAAAATCTATACTAAAATATAAATCTAAATGAAACCAATAAAACTATAATAATTTTTGATATATTTTAAGAATTTAGAATTTAAAATACTATAATGCTAATTATAAATATTTTTGTGATTTTTTCTAATAATGCAATAGCAAAAAGTGACATGAACTAAAATACATATTTTTTTAGATTTTTTTCAAATAAGACAAAAAATGATAAATAAAAGAGAAAACAAATGTGCGATATGCACGATTTGGGAAAGGTTCGACAAGACATGATCAAATTCCATTAAATTCATAAAGCTACTTCTAACGTTTTCATTCTTCTGTGGCTTTTCAAACATAATCAGCTCTTGACTTGTAAAGAAAAGTTGTAAATGACGTCAAGGAGAATCATGTGCAAAAACAACCGCTCAAAAATGTCGAAATTTGAAGAAGTTATGAATTTTTAAAATCCGCTTTGAAAATTGATAAAAATAGGTCAAATCGCTTGTGAACACTTGCAATGTAATGATGCAGATGAGAGGTGATATCTTAGGTCAAAAATTGGGGTATGACAGCTGCCCCTATTTAATCGTCTTAAACCTGAAGGTGAGATTGGCGTCAGCCTTTCGAGAGTTCAAGGTGGAAGATGATTAAATACTAGGACCCGAAGTTTGCCCTGGAGAGATGGTGTGAGTGTCATTCATTGGTGTGGATGTCTGCTGGGGAAAGACAAACTGGTCTTCTGGTGGACTGGTCATGATGGATAAAACATGGATGAAAAAGAGTAGCTCGTACTGGCGTAACAGTGCCGATACAAGGTTTTTAGGGAGTGAGCGGTAAAGTGACTGAAAGGATATGGTTGACGACGTCGTGATGACTGAAGGGTATGATTCATGAGAAACTTAAAGATAACACGAGGGTAATGCCTGTGAAAGACTTATGACCCTGAAAAGATAGCGCAGGGGTAAGGCCTACGAACGACCCACAACCCTAAGGGAGATATAGCGAAGGTAGGATCTACGGATGATCTTCGACCTTAAAAACAAGACGAGGAGAGGGTAAAGCTAAGGTAAGATCTACGGACGATCTACGACCCCGAAAACATAACGCGATGGTAAGATCTACGAACGATCTACGACCCTAAAAAAATAACGCGATGGTAAGATCTACGAACGATCTACGACCCTAAAAAATATGACGCGATGGTAAGATCTACGGGCGATCTACGACCTTAAAAATATAACACGACGGTAAGATCTATGGGTGATCTACGACCTCAAAAAGATAACACGATGGTAAGATCTATGGACGATCTACGACCCTAAAAAGATACCGCGATGGTAAGATCTACGGACGATCTACGACCTTAAAAAGATAACACGATGGTAAGATCTACGGGCGACCTACGACCTTGGAAGGATGACGCGATGGTAAGATCTACGGACGATCTACGACCTTAGGGGAGACAAAGTGAAGGTAAGATCTATGAACGATCTACGACCCTAAAAACCATATGAGGAGAGGGTAAAGTCTACGGATGACCTACGACCCTAAAAGAGATAAAGCGAAGGTAAGATCTACGAACGATCTACAACCCTAAAATGCGAAGGTAAGATCTACGGACGGTCTATGACCTTAAGAGGATGAGAGGGTAAAGTCTACGGACGACCTACGACCCCAGGAAGATAAAGCGACGGTAAGATCTACGGACGCTCTACGACCTTAAGAAAGATGACGAGAGGGTAAAGTCTACGGACGACCTACGATCCTAGTAAGATAAAGTGAAGGTAAGATCTATGGGCGACCTACGACCTTAGAAAGATGAAGCGACGGTAAGATTTACGAACGATCTACGACCTTAAGAATACAAGGAGGAGAGGGTAAAGTCTACGGACAACCTACGACCCTAAGAGAGATAAAGTGAGTATTGAGAGTTGGGGAGCATGACGTACTAACACCCTGGTTTATTTTAGTTGGTAGTGTAATAACAGATGTTAACTGGGAATTATGAAGATGAAAAAAAATTTGTGAGGATGTTTTGTTGATTTGGGATTGATTTGGGATTGATCTGGCTCATGCTTCATATGCAATTGAGATGATCCATGGATATGCTATGCGTTTGAGAATGCAATGCAATATGTTGTGATGATTATTGTATGAAAAATGTTAAAAACCCATTGGGATTTATTGTCCGTCATCTTGAGGTACCAATATGGACTGGTGCTTGAAAACTGAGAGAATTGAGTTATATCCTTGTCGAGCTCAATGGGGATTAAATCTTGCTGACGAGAAAAGACTTGATCTGACTTCCTTCACGTGTTGGGCTTTGTGAATAATTGAAAAAAGAGACGTGGATCTCAAACAATGCCCCGAGTCTCTCCGTGTGGGAGAATCGGATGCTCGGTCGATTGTAAGGAGGTGACGAGGATGATATCTTGATCTAGGTGATTGTTATGACTTGCTACCTGCACAGAAGAACGAACACATGGAAGCCACAGCATTCCCCGGGGATGCCTTCATACCCATGTAATGTAGTGTTTCACATCTTAGCTCGTGATTATTATTGACTTATTGTTTCCAATGCAATGCTTAACAAAGAATTTAAATCACGATTCGCATACGAAAAATAAAGTAAAAGAACATAACAAAGATTTTTAATGGAAGGACAAATTTTATTAATGAGTTTGGCCCGTGAATGGGCATTCATACATAGAAACAACTCCTAAATGAGGAAGTTGCGGAAAAGAAAAGAAATACAACGAGTAAAATGGCAATAAGAAAATCTCAAACTTCCGTTAAAACTGATATTACTATAGTTCTCATATCTCGGGTCGTCCTAGTGATGTGCTTCCAAAGGATAATAGATAGAGTGATCCATCCCGCATTAAGAAGGTGTACGTGAAGAATCTTCAGACTGTAGTCTCTCGCTTTCTTGTCCCTAATTTTTGCCTGGATCGCCCTTTCGGGTTTTCAATCCACCAGGACACCCATTTTTGCCTAAGTCGCCCTTTCAGGTTTTCGACTTAGCGGGTTATTCTCTTTTTTTTTATCCCTAACTTTTGCCTAAGCCTCCCTTTCGGGTTTTCGACTTAGCGGGTCCTTTCATGCATAGTATTTTTTGACTGAGTCTGAATTGACTGGAAGCGGAACGTCTACCCCATCCATGTTTGTCAGGATTAGAGCACTTCTTGAGAAAGCTTTCTTCACGATGTACGGTCCCCCATAGTTTGGAGTCCACTTGCCTCTTGGATCAGTGTCAATTGGGAGAATCTTTCTTAAGACCAGGTCACCTGCGTGGAACTCTCGAGGCCTAATCTTCTTGTCAAATGCCCTCATGAGACGTTGTTGGTATAACTGACCGTGACAAATGGCTGCCAGGCGCTTTTCTTCGATGAGAT